TCTTTTCTTTGGGTTGCAGATTTGATACACATTCAGTGATTTTGTACAACTTGAACAAAATAAGATCTTAAGCAACTGGCCTCACCATTTGACTTTCCAGCTGCTACAAATCAGAATCCCTACCCATCTTGGATTATGCCATACACATGCATTTTAGTGACAGAATTCTAGGCCCAGGAGCACCTGCTCCAATCTTGTACTTGCCACCCAGAATTCATATGAGGTTTTCATCACTGGTGTTGACTACCTGTGCTGACCAAGGTCCAAAAGAATCCTAGGAAAAGGTCTCCACTTATCCCCTGGACTGCCATTCAGAACCACTACTGCTCCTGGTACGGCCCTCTAGCGACACAGATTTTGCTATTTAGGGGCATCCGCTCCACAATTTGCATTCTGGCACTGCCATTGCCTGGCACCTTGCCACCACGACTGGCAGCATGGAACACACGTAGGCTCCTCACTAGCTGCCTTCTCTATTTTGGCAAGACGAATGCCGTATTGTGGGAAAGCAGAATTAATTGGTTTTCTGGGGGAGTTTAGTTAAGTCGAGCCACCTCAGCTCCAAGTTGATGAAAGTGTAACTTTGCCCTTTCCAAAACCCATGGCAAATAAATGATGGGGAAATACTCCAAAATGCACACATGGCTGGGTCCTCTGGCTCTCCTTTTCTTTTCTTTTTCTCTTCCCAGTGACTTTGGGGAGGTTTGGGCAGTGATCCTGCATACACAATACTGTTCTTGTTCTTCTTTTCTCTACAGAGCAGCCTTGAATAGCTCTGTCTAAAATTATAAGCAGGGGCAGCCCTAGGCTCCAAGAGATCAGAGCCCTCATGCTGGGCCTGAACAAAGACCCTGCTTTTTCCCAACAATTAGCCCTGCAAAAAAGGACATCTATCTCCCTCTATTAAAACCACCACGTGCCTTCAAGTCACCCCATTGTAAAGCTAATTAAATAACACGCCTCTCTCCCCATGCAGGTCTCCTGATTAGCTTCTCTCAGTCGGAAACCTCTGCAAAGAGCCTAGAGATAGACCAGCCAATGTTCTGTCTCATAAGCCCCACCCCCACCTCCAATTAGCCATCACCCTTGGAAAGCCATCCTTATCAATACCTGAGTTCATTCAGGCTCCACTTTCAACCACAGTTCAGACTCTAGTCACCTCCAGCTCCAAGACCAAATTGATATTCTTTTAAAAATAAGTTTATGGGGGCTGGGGATATAGCTCAGTTTGTAGAGTGCCTGCCTGGCATGCACAAGGCCCTGGGTTCAATCCCCAGGATCACCAAAAGAGAAAAGGTTAGAGAAGGCCAAACATTTCCATCACAGTGTAAAATCTTTGGGGGGACTGCACCCACATGATGGTCCAGAAGTGCTGCTGTTGCCACTGGAGTGGGGCAGCTCTACAGGCAGCTCTCCGCTCTTCCTGGGAATACTCAGACCTGTGTGACATGACACACATGCTTCTGGGGAGGTATTACATAGGAAAATAGGGCAAAGAAAAAAATATGGCCATCATTTTTCTAAAAACATGATTAAGAAATAACATGCTACCCCTCGAGTTAAATTCCTTCAAAGACCCCTTATGGATGAATGCAATCAGACACTTCCTCCTCTGCCTTCTCATGACAAGCAGCCTTCAAGTGGGTACATACAGGCTTCTGATGGAGCACTTACTACATGGATGAAAATAAAGGGATCCCCTGAAGGGCAAGAACCACGTTCAACTCAAATTTAAATTTCCAGCTTGAAGCACAGTGACTTAGGGTGAATATTTGATAAATGTTGGAAGAATAGATAACTAAATAAATGAAGAAGCAAATGAAATAAGGAATGAATGAATGAATAGAATCCATTTTACAATAAATGTGATCTGAGACAGTAAATTCAGGCCTATCCATCTTTACTACAGGTGATCTTTGTGCCCAGAAAAGGGCATTATTATTTTATGGCACAGCCCTCTGAGCCTATCAGATCTCATACACATGCACACATATATATGTACACATAATCTCCTTCTCAAATACAAGTATATAAGTATCTTTTGGGTGAGTTGTTTTTTTGTTTTTTTGTTTTTTGTACTGGGGATTGAACCAGGGGCACTTAACCACTGAGCTACATTCCCAGTCCTTTTTTTTTTTTTTTTTTTTTTTTTTGAGGCAGGCTGAGGCTAGCCTCAAATTTACAATCTCTCTGCCTCAGCCTCCCAAGTTGCTAGGATTATAGGTGTGTGCCACTGCACCCAGCTCATTCACAAGGTTTTTAATAATGAAAAATAGAAGAATACCAGACCAGCCATTTCTAAATCTTTTTAATAGTTCTGAGCTTAACTTTTCAAACCAACTTCAACCTATGAGGTTTCCCATTAATTTAATCTTCAGACTTACATAAACCTTTCCTTCTACATGTTTTTAAGGAGACTCACCAATCTTCTTGGAAATCCTATACAAATGAGTGAATAACTAATTTATAAAGTAATACCGTATAAAATTTAAGTCTCCCATGAAATATTCAAAAGTGGATTTGAACTGTTAAATTCCCAAACATTTTAAAACAGCCCAAATCACTGAATGATTCCCATCTCTAACATACAAAGCCTTGTAGCAGAACCCACTGCCTGATGATTCTCATACAACTTCACCTCTGTGCAGGATGGCATTTGGGGTCAGTTCTCACCTTGTTATTTTACCATCACAATCTCAACTTTTTAAAAAAAGGTGTATTTTCTTAATACTTATGGGTATTTTCCATACAGAGCAAAAAATCAAGGCCTACAGCAACAGGGAAAGCTTCTATGATTACTCAGTTAATAAATAATCATATCAATAAAAAAGAGTCTGTAACCCCGGGCTGAGACTCAGGGAGAAAGCACTCATTCGTTTGGCCGTCGCCTTGTTTTGGCAAGCTTCCTACATGCTCAAGTGGAATGCCCACTTCATAATGATCATAATGGATTGAAAGCTGTAAAATTAGACTCTGGCTGGCAATAAGCTCTTTATTACTCTCCTTTGCCACGGGCAGGCGGGGAGTGCCTCCATTCTCAGATGCTGCCTTAAAAAAGACCAATCCAAGACCTCTCTGACATAACAGAAAACCCAACAATAGGTCTGAGAATGTAGCTCAGTGGCAGGGTGCTTGCCTAGCGTTCTAAGGCCTTGGGTTCAATTTCCAGCATCAAAGAAAAATAAAAAAGGACACTAAATGAAGACAATGGGATCTGCATTTTCATATAGATTTGAATCCTCAAGATAGAGCTTAGGCTCAATACAAAGAAGCTATTGAGCATTGAACCTGTAGATCAAATAACCTACAAAGCAGAAATAAACTGTTACAACAAAGATAAATAGAAAGCATGGTTCAAAGAGAAGAATTAGTGGAAATGAATGTTAAGTATAAATGCTACTGTATTACTTAAATAAAAATATCAGATGCATATGATCATTGTGCTTCAATCAAAGAGAAAGAACAGAAAATAAGAGACATGTATTATAAACACAAGCACTGTCATGTGGATATTGGATACAAGAATTAAGTACATCAGGTAAACACAAGAAGTGGATGTTTTCTGAATCCAACTGAAGTCTTGAGCCATGTGAAAAGGCTTCATATAGACAATTTAAGACACAAGAAATCTCTCATTAGAAGGAAGAAGAGTTCAGAACTAACTATAGGGGACTGGGGATGTGGCTTAAGCGGTAGCACGTTTGCCTGGCATGCGTGCGGCCCGGGTTCGATCCTCAGCACCACATGCAAAACAAAGATGTTGTGTCCGCCGAGAACTAAAAAATAAATATTAAAAAAAAAATTCTCTCTCTCTCTCTCTCTTTAAAAAAAAAAAGAACTAACTATAGGGAGCAGCCATGCTGAGAGTTCATGTCAATACATTCCAGTTAACAAGTTATTTAAGCAATGACTTCGGGGTAGCTAGCCACATAATTCTGCAAATAGGATCCCTTGGAAAATCAATTAGGAATCATTCCTTTCACACTATCTTCAGAGTTTGGTCATTTTAAATCCTTTATGTGTCAAATCTCAGACCTAAATGTGAATAAGCATCTTTTCTCTGATGGAAAGAACAGCAATGCTTTACTTGGTCTAGCATGGAAGATCACAAAGCACTTCCACCAACATCATTTCACAGCATCTCTTAGAAATGCATTAAAGGAGGGGAGGTATCCCAACCTCTTCATACACAGCATCTGTCTGGAGAGTAGAACTCTCTCCAGTGTTTTGCCTAACTCTAATCCAAGTGAGCTGTGCAAAATACTGAAGATGCACATTAGCTCAACTCTTTCAAATTATTCAGGTGTTCAAAAATTACTCTCACCTACCACTCAAAAGGCCTTCAAATATGTTTTTGTTTTGCCACGTCTTTTGTCATAATTTGTTGGATTTCTCATTAGATCTTTTATCACTTCAGTAACATAAACCATCTGAGTCATGATTTTCTCACCAAGAAGGAGTGTGTAGGGGGAAAGGGAGGGAAGGCATGGAGTGGTGGATGACGAAATGATTAACATACAAATCCCTACTCATCTCCAAGCAGAGTAGAAATGAGTGGAGCTGTCCTCAGGAGGTAGATACCATAGGATCCCAAGTGATGCAACTGCCTGAGCTCCAGAAGAAACCAGAGGAGAAATGAAATCACAGCTGGGGATGAGGGAAAGGAGAGCAGAGAGGCAGCTCCCTTCCCATGGGAACTACGGGGCGAGGGAAACTGACATGAAATAAACTCTTGCACCCAGAGCTTTAATGTCTGCTGCACATCTCCCTGCAGCTGCATCAGGAAAACATTGGGAAGCCTTGGAAATGAGAGAAGCTGGCCTCAAAACTAATGTTGTTGTTGTTGTTTTTTCCCCACTTATACATGTGTATTGGGATTTCATAGTAATATGTTGTAATAGAGATTTCAGAATAAGTATGACATGACATTACAAACACACAAGTAATACATTCTGGGAAATGTTTCATTGTTTTAAAGCCACATACCTCAAATTATTCACGAAGGGGCAAGTGAGCACCTGTAAGAATGGAGAAAGAGTAACAAGACAGGGCAGAGGACTTGGGGAGCAACCTCAGATACACTGGATATTGACACCTCCAGTATAAGAGATGTTTTTTCACTTCTCTTGGATTTACAGTGTTTATGCCTTCAAAATGCCCAAGTTAAATATATTAATTTTTTTAAGCCTCTGGTCTCTGATAAACCCTGTGGATCCAGGATGTTTGCCTGGCAACTGTTAATGACTTTCTCTGAAACACATCAAAGACAAGGCAAGGAAAGTGAAAAAGAAATATCAATATTAGTCATTTAGACACACGAATTTACCTTAGATGAGATTTATATAATTGATTCATAAAAGTATGATGAAATGATCCTAGAAAAGTCTGCTGACTTCTTTGAGTTCCAATACACTAAAGGAGCTTAAAAAGCAAATTCTGTTTGTTTTGGTTTATTTGTAATACAGGAGGTAAGGGGAGGGCGTTAATGTTCCTATTTAGAGATGAGGAAATTGATAACCATTTAGCATAACTAGATTGGGAGATTGCATGTCCTTCACAAACCACACATGTAATGGCTGCTTTCTGTTGCTCTTTCCTGGTTACTATTAGTTCAGGTACCCTGCCCAGGGCTCAGCACCATGTTTGATACTATGCTGCAGACTCTGGGTGACCTGGGCTCAAATTTGGAGTCTATAACTTACAAGCAGTGTAATTTTTGGCAAATTATTTCAACTATGTAAAGCTCAGCTTATTGGTGTGTGAAATGGAGTTAACAATAACTCACAGGATTTGGGGTAAGATATAAATAGGGTAATGTATGTAAAAGGTTTGGCAGTATTTGACTCAAAAGTAAATAATAAATGGCAAGATTTTTTAAGTTCAAAACACACATACACGAATACCAAGAAAGCTTAAACTCAGGTATCCTCAAAATATTTCTTTACCATATAGAGCAATATTGAAGAGCCAGTTAAGACAAATATTTGTTTATGCCATAGATCTAAAAAGCAATTCATAAATATAGGTGCCCTAGATATTTTTTTAAAAAAATCTCTGTCCCTAAGAATAGCCAGACAATGGGGGAAACATAGTTTTAACAGCATGGGAACAGCTAGATATACACAGGCAAAGGAAAGAAGTTGTATCTGTTACTTCACACAGCACATAAAAAGGAACTCAAAATGGATCATAGACTTAAATGTAGGAGCTAAAGCTACACAGCTCTTGGGTAAGACAAATGGGAATAAATAGTCACACTTTACATTATGTGGTGATTTCTTTGATACAACACCAAAAGCATTTAAAACAAAAGAGAAAAATAGATAAATTGGTCTATATCAAAAGCAAAATCTTTTTAATGTTACAAATTATAATGTGACAACTGACAATATAAGAGATGTTTGCAAATTATTCATCTGACAAGAGAATCTTATCTAAACTATATAAAGAACTCTTATGACATAATTTAAAAAATGAGTCAAGGATTTGAATAGACATTTCACCAACAAACATATACAAATGTCCAATAAGCCCATGAAAATATGTTCAACACCATGAAGCATTAAGGAAATGCAAATCTAAACCACAACAAGATACCACCTCACATTTACCATGAGGGCTATGATAAAAAAGGGGACAAGAATAAATATTGTTTGGAAACAAAGAAGTTGGAACACTCATACATCCTTTGGTGAAAATGGTGTAGCTACTTTGAAAAATATTTTGGCAGTTATAGAAATAGTTATACATATAGTTATCATATGACCCAGTGATTCTACTCCTAGGTCTATACCCAGCAGAAATGGAAACATGTTTGTGACGAATGTATGCATGAGTGTTCATAGTAGCATTATTTGTAGTAGCCACAAAGTGGAGACAATCCAAAAGTCTATCAATAAAATGTGGCATAGTTATCTAATGGAGTATTATTTGGGGGATAAAAATGAATGAAGAAGTGATACATGTTACAACATGCATGAACCTTAAAAGTATCAAGCCATATGAAAGAGCCCAGTCACCAAAAAATCACATATTGTATGGCCCCATTTATACAAGAAGTCCAGAATAGACAAATTTATAAAGATCAAAATTGAGCCAATGGTTTCTAAGATATAAGGGTAAGGGAGATGATGGAGAAAAGAGACTGACTACTAATGGGGATGAGATTTTTTTTTAGGAAGGACAAAAAATGTTTGAAAATTATATTGTGGTAAATGTTGCTCAATATTGTGAATATACTGGAAAAAAAAAACCAACTTAAATTGCACACTTTAAATGGAAAACCTCAATAAAAAAATAAAACAACTTTGCTTTTCCAGAGGTAAAGTCAAGACAAATAAAAGAAGGAGAAAGAATTTTCTATCATCTAGTGAAGTCTGCCTAGTGGAGTCTATGAACATCATCTTAAGACCGTTTGCTTAACCAAAGTTCAGTGGAAAAACGTCTAACATTTCTGTGACCTTCTTTTCTAAACTTCCTAAGTGGCTTAGAAATAGTCTGCCCGGGAAACTCCAAATGGAACCTAAAAATATTATCTCCTGGCTTTATAAACACCAGGAACACTAATGAAGTGAGGAGCAACAGTCCCAAGAATGGAATATTTCATTCAGGTTGGGAGGCATAAGTGAAGCCTAAACTCATCTCTGAATACAGGCAGGAAGGCCAAGAAGGGGCCGGGCGAAGGCCAGGGAGGTGAAAATCAACACAGGGCAGAGAAGAAAAGAATAACAGTGATCTAAGATACATAAAGCAGAGCCGGGGTGGCCACTATTCTAAACATCTGAAACGACCCCTTTGCAAATCAAACTCTGTCCTCCTTCTGCTGACCAAGTTTGGAGAAATGAGTGATCTTCAAGGCAGACTCCACAACCCTCACTTTCACATAATTCAGAGGCCACAGAGGTAACCTGCTTGCACTGGTCTCATCTTAACCTCTGGTCTGCAGCAAAAACACCCCTTCCATCATTCTCATTCCCATAGGGCTATTACAAATCTGCACAGTGCTGTATGTCTTTTTGAGCTCTCCATCCAGGCTATGTTGATGCCACTCTGTAGCCCCAATACCTCATGGAGAATGAGGCCTCACTAAATATGCATTGATTGAGAAGGGACAGAATAGAGGTGCTCTGATGTGACTAAGACACTAAGTCAATCCTACGATCCAGTTAAGAGCCAAGACATCAACCACACCTCCACCAGCTATGATGAGTCTGGACAACCAGTGTACACATATTGATCACCTCATCTGCTATGTGGCAATTATTGGGCTAGGCACTGGGGATACAGAAATAAATGATAAATTCCCTCAGCCTTAGAGGGAAAAGAATCATTAATACACATACATGTATACAACCCTCTTCTGGACCAATCGTAAGACTTTAGGAATAAAGGGGTGTGTGTGAGAGAGACAGAGAGAAGGAGGGCAGATTTTAGAACTTCTAAACTGATTTAAAACTCCTGGGCAGGGATTCCACCTCTTGAGTCCCCTTCTTCCTCCGGGAGAAGTCTTTTCTGCTGTCCTTTAATAAACTTCTAATTTCTACTCTGAAAAAAAACAACTCCTGGGCAGTAATCACAACCATTCTGGTAAATGAAATAATCCTGGTTGGTTCAACAGACCTTAACTGAGTGCCTGTGACAACTCAAACATTCATCTAGGAACATGACAAGGTGCATGCACCCCCGAGGTGCATATAGTCTCATAGGGAAGACAAAAGCCGTGATCATAACACATTGCAATAATTTCTACAAAACAGGTACTCATCAATATCATGAGGACACAATCAGGGCCTGAACTAAGGTATACACAGTATTAATAATAAAGAAGATGGGATAAATTTAAGAGCTGTTTAGAAGATAAAGTTGACAGAACTCAATGCTGGCTGAATATAAGGACAAGGTGGTGGCCACCTGCTGGTTTTCTCTCCTGAGTTTTTTCCTTCTACTTATAGTACCAGACCCCTCCTACTTTCTTTTAGGAAATCAATTCTTCTTCACCCAGTAGAGCGCTGGTGGAACTGCTGAGCACAGTACCCCCAATGCCTCCTGTTCACAGAGGGAGACAAGAACCCACAAGGCCATTTAGAATACCCCATTTCCATATTTCATTAATTGCCTTAAGGGTGGGCATGCCAAACTCAGGGAATCTGTATATGAGCATGACAAGGACAACATTTTTTTTTTTTTTGGTAATGTCTAAGACCATGGACTTTCCTTCTTCTAGCAAAGCAAAGAGATGAGCTAGAGACGAGGAAGAGGAGAGGAAAGAAGAGAGCAGGAAAGAGGAAAAAGAGGAAGAGTTGGTGGAGAAGAGACTTAAGTAGATTTCTGACTTCCTAGACTCTCTCAGGCTGCTGCCTCTTCTACGGGGCTTCCCTTCTGAACATCAATAAATTCGAAAGTAGTTTGAACCAATTTTCCAGCACTGTATAAACATAAAGAGCCCTAACCAATACAAGGGTTAAAGTGGAAAGGAGGGAATGAAGAAGAGCCAACTGTCTAGTTCTGGGATGGGTAGCTAACTGTTTTCTTCATGGAGACAGGATTGAGGGTGAAGATTAGGGCGCAGAGGCAGGGAGAGCAAGAGCTCTGTTGTAACTCTGTTTTTTCTGTGCAGGATCCAGGTAAACCATTCACAGAAAAAAGCCCACAGAAACACCTCAATGTGTTAAACTTTGGCTGATGCCACTAAATAACCTGTGCCTCTGCCCACTATTATTTTTTAATTTTCAAATTTTCTTTAAAGAGATGTATTATTTTTATAGTGATTATTTTTTAAATAAACTAAGCATGGTATTTTTGTACATGGAAAATTACCAGTCACAGCCAGGAAGAGGACAAAGATAATGTTCACAGGCAGCCAGAACAGCACAGATTCTCTCCTCTCTCTTTTTCTCTCCTCTTTTTCTTCTTTCTTTCTGTTTCTCTCTCTCTCTCTCTCTCTCTCTCTCTCTCTCTCTCTCTCTCTCTCTGTGTGTGTGTGTGTGTTTTGTGTGTATATGTGTCTCCTGTTCAACTT